ACGACAGAGAGAGAGAGAGAGAGAGAGAGAGAGAGAGAGAGAGAGAGTGTGAGAGAGAGAGAGAGAGGGGGGGGGGGGGGGGGTGTGTGTTTCAGTGTTTTTCCAAGTGTAAGTCCTCAATACTTGGGGATCTCAGTGAGTTTCCAGACAGTTAGGAGTGTCTGGGATAATTTTCTAACCTATGTTTTTTAGCCTTCAATTTTTTTTTTCTTTCTTTTTAAGACTTGTCAAGTGCAGTAGTGAGAAGGGGGGGAGTGTAGAACAGGAGTTCAATCTGTAACTGACTGTGAACAATCAATTGAGATAAGTCACTACCTTCGGACCAGCCTTTAGTCTTCAATTTTATTTTATACATATAGACTTTTTTTTTTTTTTTGTTTTTCGAGACAGGGTTCTCTGTGGCTTTGGAGCTTGTCCCGGAACTAGCTGGTCTCAAACTCACAGAGATCCGCCTGCCTCTGCCTCCTGAGTGCTGGGATTAAAGGCATGCGCCACCATCGCCCGGCTGTTTGTTCATTCTTTTTTGTTATTTGGGACAGGGTTTCTCTGTGAAACAGTCCTGGCTATCCTGGAACTCACTCTGTAGACCAGGCTGGCCTTAAACTCACAGAGATCCACCTGAGTCTGCCTCCCAAGTGCTGGGATTAAAGGTGTGTGCCACCATCGCCGGGCTTACATATAGACATTTTGCCTGTATGTATGGATATATACCATATCAGTGCCTGGTGCCTGTTGAAGCCAGATGAGGGCATCAGATCTTCTGAAACTGGAATCATGGATAGTTGTGAGCCACACTGGAGTACTGGGAATCAAACCCAAGTCTGGTTAGCCACTAAGTATCTCTTCAGCCAGACATCTTATTTTGGTAGATCCTTTTTTAATGGGATAGAGTCAGTTTCTGTTTTCAACATATGAGGTTTGAAGGATCTGAGATAGTCATCCGAGCAGAAGATTGGAAGGCTGGTGAACTTGGGGTAAGGTACTGATTCAAAAGGCCTGGAGTCTCTGATACTACAAATCTAACACATTCTCAGAGACTCAGTGCTACAGGGACCCTCTACCCATCACTGTGAACCACAACAGAGATAAAAGAGTCCAAGAGGGACAGGAAAGAGGAGTGATTTAAGCAAAGATATGACAGGGGTTCCCTGTGTAGACTTGGCTGTCCTGCACATTATATACGGATGAAAATGATAACTGGAAAACAATTAGTGAAACGAATCCTATAATTCTTGGTAGTAAACAAGGTGAGCAACTGAACTCAAACATACAGAGTATGGCAGAGGTGCGGTGGCTGTGAGGCTCCTTGTGCCGAGAACAAGAAACAGTCACAAGCTGGCGAGGGCCAGGAGTGTGCGATAAGGAAACATCTTTCAGGTGAAGTGTGTTACCGGTTCTCATTACCCCAACTGCTCCATCTTCATGAGACATCTCTCTCCTCCAACTTCCCCAGAGAGGAAAGCACCTTTTTTTTTAAAGTATATTTTTTTGTTTTGCTTTTTGAGACAGGGTCTCTCTGTGTAGCTCTGGCTGTCCTGGAACTCACTATAGACCAGGCTGGGTTTGAACTCAGAGATTTGCCTGCCTCTTCCTCCAGTGTGCAGCACCACCATCCGCCTCCAAGCAGAAATTTATTATTATTTATTATTATTATGAATGTTTATTATTTTATGTATGTGTGCTTTGTTTTCATGTAGACCTCCACACCAGAAGGCATCAGATCCCATTGTGAGCCACCATGTGGGTGCTGGGGAACTCAGGACGTCTGGAAAAGCAGGCAGTGTCCTTAACTGCTTAGCTATCTCTCCAGTCCTAATTATTTATAGGGTCAATGTAGATTTGACAAGGGAAGTACATGAAGTAAAATGGATATGAACTCAAAACTTGGGACTGTTACAGGTTAGTTAGTTTTTTTTTTAAAGGTGTGTGCCACCACTACCTGACTAGGGAATTGTTTTTTTTAAAACGTTATTTATGTTTGTTTGTTTGTTTATTATAGAGTGTTCTGTCTACATGTGTGCCCGCAGGCCAGAGGAGGCACCATATCTCATTATGGGTGGTTGTGAGCCATCATGCAGTTGCTGGGAATTGAACTCAGGACCTCTGGAAGAGCAGTCAGTGCTCTTAACCGCTGAGCCATCTCTCCAAACCTACTTGATTGAATTTTTACCCACTGGACAACACTAAATATTTTATAGTAAGAAACATTTAGTAAGCTGGGCGATGGTGGTGCACACCTTTAATCCCAGCATTCGGGAGGCAGAGGCAGGCGGATCTCTGTGAGTTCGAAACCAGCCTGGTCTACAAGAGCTAGTTCCAGGACAGGTTCCAAAGCCACAGAGAAACCCTGTCTCAAAAACCCAAAAAATGAAAAAAAAGAAACACTTAGTAAATAGCAGTTTATTATTAGATAATACCACACATACCTCTTCTTTGCTAACTAGACTTACACCAAAAGTTTTAGGTTGTTTGTTTTTACATTAGCGAGGCTTCCTGATATAACTAAGGATGACTGATTACCAGACAAAATGATACCAGTGAGCCAAGCAGGCTTTTCCCAGCAGTCTTTGTTGTAGTGCTGAGGATCTAACCCAGGGCTCTGCAATTTGCTCACTATTGAGTATATTCCCCAAACCCAGGGCATTCTTTTCCTAATCCAAGTAGAACTTTTTACTGCATAAGCATGCTCTGGAAGAAGCAAGGCCCTCGAAGGTCTCACTTGCTGAATCCAACTGAAGGCTTTCTAAGGTTAAAACAATAAATCCAAAGGAAGCCGCGATGCACCAGGCTTGTTACCCTGGAAATTCAGGGCTGAGGTTACGTTTCAGTTTCCCAAAGTCTCACAAAACATGGTGATCGCATCCTAAAATTGTAAAAGATAGTACCTAGGTCTGCAGAAAGGAGTTCTCATTTGCAGGACTGTTATCCAACCTAGTGGCAAGAGTCACACCTTGCAACCCACGCCAGGTCCTACCACCTGCCCTCAAGAAACCAATTAAAAGAGCCAAATTAAAAGCGGAACGCAGGGCTTTGGGAAGAGGGGAAAAGAGATCCAGCGAACCAGCCCAAAGTCCTGAAGTGAGAGTAAAGTGTAAAAGAAGGCCAAGGATATCATCTCTAAGCAGACACAGAAGATAAAGGAAAATAAACTATCAACAAAATTTCCATTTATAAGAGACCAGTATTGGTGTGGGACACCCCAAGACCAAGTTCGCAGCATAAAGATTTATTTGCCCCGTGGGACAGAGGGCAGGGAATTAGAGACAAAGACACAAGGGAGAAGGGGACAGGAACAAGAGAGAGGGAAAGGGGTATTTGTCCCCGAGGGGGACAAAGGACTGCCTCTAGATAGAGACAGAAAAAATGACAAATTATAAAGGTAAAAAGGGAAATTCCGTGTTAGGAAGAAGTGTTTAATTTTGATTGGACATATTAATTAGGATAGCCAAAGGGGGCTTTTGATTGCTGGAATTCAATATTTTGATTGTTGGTCCTTGGTAGTCAGCCTCAGGAGGAAGAAGTGGTCAAATAAGGGCCTAGATCTTGGTGGTTAGCTTTAGGAATGTAACCTAATGGGCCGAGGGAAAGGGGGAGGAGGGCGAGGCCGGCCAGAGACCTGTTTGCCACGCTAGAGATGACCAGAGTCCCTTCTCTACCCACATCAAGAAGGAAAGAAGTCACAAGAGACCCGCCCACTTGTTGTCCCCAAGGCGCCGAGACCAAGGTGAGCTCGAGGGGTAGAAGAGGTGTCCGGGAGTCTGAGTGCTGCGGATGGGCGAGCGTTCCACTCGGCGGGGAGCGTGCTAATCCGGGAGGCCCGGAGACCGCCGGGAACAGCGACGGAGTAATCCGCTCCCTTCACTTCCGGGCGGCGCTCGCACTGCGTCCCTGCGTCGCCGAGTCATGACGTCACGGGCCCAGAGCGGGCTTTTCGCGGGAGCGCGAAAAGTGAGACGGCGCGGCTTCTGTCAGCGTCTGTAGCCAGAGCGGGTCAGTAGGACCGGGCATACGCGGGCGCTCGCTTCGGGGCGTCAGGGGCCGGGGAGACACGCCTGACGTCCCGGACGTTCCGGAGGAGCCGCTCGACCTCCTCCTGGGGTACCCCGGCTCTCCCCGGACAGGTTCCCGCCCAGCTTCTTGCAGCCCGCGGGCGTCCCCCTTCCCCCCCCAGGGACCAGGCGCGTCCCTAGAGCCCGCCGTGGCGCGGTTCTGTAGTTACTGGATTACCTATCCTGTCAGAGTCAACTCAGTTCCCTAATGAAGTGAACGTGATTTATTTTAAATAATAGCAGTTATTGACTCGCACTATATCCGCTTTCCGGTGCGTATTTTTCATCTTGTCGCCATTTGGTTTGGAGCGCAAATATGAACTGTCCCCCATCCTCATGGTAAATTCTGTTCTTGTCCCAAAAGATGGGCCTAAGGTAGTCTGGTTGGGCAAATTTAGCAGCGCTTCTGATTTTCCCTGTCACCAAGAAAGCAAGCCTGTGAAGTGTATTTTACTTCTCTTTTGCAGAGCGAGCATCGGAGGAACACTGTAGAGAAAATGCCCATTGAATACAAAAGGAGACCAACTTTTTTTGAAATTTTTCAGGCGCGATGCAGCACAGCAGGTATTGATGGGTTTTTATAAAACTTGGTAAATTAAGTCACATCGAGAAAATATTTTCAATAAAGTAAGGCAAGGTGGATACTTGCTTTAAAAAAAAATTAAAAACAAAAACAAAGCACTCGGGAGGCAGAGGCAGGTGGAGCTCTGTGAGTTTGAGGCCAGCCTGGTCTGCATAGCAAGATAAAGCACTGTTAGGGCTACTTAGAAAGACCCTGTCTCAGGAAAAAAAAAAAAAATACTTGCACTAAGTGTGATGGTTCACTTTTTTTTTTTTTTTTGGTTTTTCGAGACAGGGTTTCTCTGTAGCTTTGGAACCTGTCCTGAAACTAGCTCTTGTAGACCAAGCTGGCCTTGAACTCACAGAGATCTGCCTGACTCTGCCTCCCAAGTGCTGGGATTCAAGGCGTGCGCCACCACCGCCTGGCTTCTGGTTAGCTTTGAACTCACTGAGATCCACCTTCTGTCTCTCAAGTGCTGGGCAATTTTTTTTTTCTTCAGAAGAGTGGGGCATGGGAGTGACACTGGGATGTAGCTCAGTAGAGTGCATGCCTCGTGTTTGGCTGTCTGGCTTTGTTCCTCAGCTTAAACCAGGCATTAGCAAATGCCTTTAATCTTGCCACTTGGGAAGTAGAGGCAGAAGGATTACACAGTGAGCTCATGGGCAGTAAGGGGCACGTGAGACTGTCTATAAAGTGAACAATGAATAACTCAGTCCCTGGCAGCTTTCTTTGTGCTCGTTGTGGAGTCGTACATCTAGTTACCATAGTCCTTTCCTGGTCAACCAGATGATGGAGAATACCTAAATAGGTGGGAGATGTAGTAACACTGCGACTTCCATTGGGAAGAATTGTTCGCAAGGGCTACCAGCAAATCAGACGCGTTGGGATGCTACTGATGAACAGTTATCAGACTTTCTTTTAGGATTTTTTTTTGTTTGTGTGTTTGTTTGTTTGTTTTTGATTTTTCGAGATAGGGTTTCTCCGTGGCTTTTTTGGTTCCTGTCCTGGAACTAGCTCTTGTAGACCAGGCTGGCCTCGAACTCAGAGATCTTCCTGCCTCTGCCTCCTCCCGAGTGTTGGGATTAAAGGCCTGCGCCACCACCGCCCGGCTAGGATTTGTTTTTGTTATTTTAAATCACACATCTGTGTGTGTGGCTGTGCGTGGGTATATGCCCGTGTGTGTGGGTGCCTGCAGAGGTCAGAAGAGGGCATCGGATGCCCTGGGGCTAGTGTGATAGGTGTTTGTGAGCTGCTTGATGTGGGTACTAGGCACTGGATTTGAGTCCTCCGCAAGAGCCGTAAACAGCCGTCTCTGCAGCCCCATTTTTCTTGTTTTGAGGACCTCATCTTGCTATGTAACATGGCTTAATTTCAAACTTGCTAGGTAGATCAGGTTGGTTGCAAACTTGCAGTGATCACCCTGTATCCTGGGATTGCAGCGTGAGCAACCACACCTGGCTCTGAGTTAGTTCCTGTCAGAGAGTATTGGCAGTGCAGGACTAAGAAACGCACATCCTGTTCCGCAACTGGTCTGATCCGACCACTCTTAGGAAGCTGGGAAGAAATCGGCCCCTGGGAGTCCCTAGAAATGGTTGATTTCATTATGGGAGCTCACATTTCATCATTAGCAGCAAACGTTTTTTCTTCACTCGAATGAGCTCACTGCATTCTTGAGAAAATGTCTACCAAACACTTGAGATCGGAGCACTTGGTTTGTCTGGCTGTCCTTCCCAGGAAAAGATGGCCTTTTGTGAAAAGTGTCTGAGCTTCGCTCACAACTCTTCATGAGTGCTTTTCTGTTAGTTACACTTCCGTCTGCAGAAATGCTGTCTGCATGTTGTTTCTCAGAAAATTGGGAAGGGTGTGCTAATGAATTAAGCTTAGTTCCGTCAGGTGGCTTAAGTGGGTAAAAGGTGTGTGCTGCACAGGTCTGGTGACCAGCTTGTTGCCGAGAAGCTGTATGAAGGAAGAAGGACAGAAGCAGCTGTGCACAGTTGTCTCTGACCCCTATGTTCACATCAGCACATGCACACCCACACGTGTCACATACACAGTAGTAACAAGATGTAAACATAAACTTCATGCAGTTCATTTTTGCTTTGTTCAAGAGTCCCTGGCATTTCCCCGTTGGGTGGGCAGGAAATGTCAGTACTAGTGTAGCTGGGTCCACTGCCTTCTGTCTGGAGGTGCAGCAGTTGTTTCCGTACGTCATCCTTGCTGTGATGTGAAAAGGCGAAGGACACCATGGCCTAATTGTGAAATGCATTTAGCTATTAAATCTCCTGAAGCAGGTGAAACTGCTCTATAGGGTGGGTGGGTATTAGACATTTTGTCATTGCCATGTAAGAATTTTTTTTTCATACTTATTTGAAACTGTTTCTTTAACCCATACTTAAAGAGATTTGTCATATTTAGTCTTCAAAATCATTTTTTAAATTATGGAATACATGCTTATGTGAGTAGGTTTTTTTTCTGAATTGATGATTGTTAAATTAAAAAAAGATAATATAGCTAAATTCTGTCTCCTTGTAACTTTTTCAAAATTATGTGTTGCTGCACTTTCACAAGAGTACATTAGCCGGGCGGTGGTGGCGCATGCCTTTAATCCCAGTACTCGGGAGGCAGAGGCAGGCGGATCTCTGGGAGTTCGAGGCCAGCCTGGTCTACAAGAGCTAGTTCCGGGACAGGCACCAAAGCTACAGAGAAACCCTGTCTCGGGG